TGAAGTCTTCACTAAGTCTATGACAACTTTCTAAAAGATTTTTCTGATGAGGTTGGGTGAGAGTATCAATGAATGTGATTTTTAAATTTTGTATAACGAAATATATCAACATTTGGAACATATGTTTAACTTGGTAAACCGCTATTTTCCAAATGACCAACACATGACGTTACAAAATCATGCATGAGTAAAAAGATCCATGCAAAGTACAAAGTAGATCAATGGATTTTAATGTAACAGTTTGCAAAAATTCCTTGATAATGGCCTCAGATTCCACATTCCACATTGCAACTAATCTTTAAAAACCCACCACTTGTTGGGGGCGCCTGGGTGGCTCAGTCGGTTAAGCATCTAACCCTTGACTTTAACTCAGGTCATGAGAGCCCTGAGTCGGGCTCTGAGTTGATAGCGTGGAGCCTGCTTGGGATTCCCTCTCCTTCTCTGCCCCTCCCCTCCACTTGCTCTCTCTCACTCAAAATAAATAGGCATTAAAAAAAAAAAAAAAAAAAAAAGAAGAAGAAGAAGACACCTCTTCTCAGTGGCTCAGTTGGTTGAGCGTCCAACTTCAGCTCAGGTCAAGATCTCACATACTGTGAGTTTGAGCCCCACATTAGGTTCACTGTTGTCAGTGCAAAGCCCACTTCAGATCCACCATCCCCCTCTTCTCACGCTCTCTCTCAAAAATAAACATTAAAAGAAAAAAAACTGCAAAACTTAAAAAACAACAGAAAAAAGAAAAAGAAGAAGAAAAGAAACTACCACTTGTGAAATTTTGGTGTAGAATCAAGAATATCCATAATTATTTTTTAAAAACCAGTACAATATTCCTCCCTTTTCCAGCTATGAATGTGTAAGGCCATATTTTTATCTACTAATCAAAACCATGTATTACGACAGATTGAACGCAGAAGTGGACAGGAGAATCTAGCTGTCTTCTAGCAAACCACACATTAAGATTTGCCCAACAATGTAAAATAATGCTGCTCTTATTATATTTCTGTTCTTGGGAAAACGTATAGCTATTTTTCACAAAAAGAACATGTTAACATGTAGTGACTTTGTTGTCATCTTTAAATGCATTAGGATCTTTTAAATTTCTGAGTTTTAATTTCTAATTCAGTAAATATCAATAAATTTAACTCATATACACAAAGGTTTTGGAGTGTCCTCAATAATTTTTAAGAGTGAAAAGGGATTGATTCTAAAGCCAAAAAGCTTGAGAAACACTGATCTAAAGTACACAAATTAAAGCAACTTTTGGGGGCACCTGGGTGGCTCGGTCGGTTAAGTGTCCAACTTCGGCTCAGGCCATGATCTCGCTGTTCCTGAGTTTGAGCCCCGCATTGGGCTCTGAATTGAGAGCTCAGAGCCTGAAGCCTGCTTCAGATTCTGTGTCTCTCACTCTCTGACCCTCCCCTGCTTGTGCTCTGTCTCTCAAAAATAAATATTAAAAAATAATTAATAAAAAAATCAATTTTGTATCAAATTTGGAAAGGCAAAATAACTAATATCTCATACTATAAAGATGTAGAAAAACTATCATTGTCATATACTGCTGAAAGAGGTAATGTGACAAAATAATTCTGAAGAAAATATTTGACAACATGTATCAAAAAGCTTTCTATTTTAAGTTTTATTTATTTATTTTGAGAGAGAAAACAACATGAATAGGGGAGGGACAGAGACAGAAGGAGAGAAAGAATCCCAAGCAGGCTCTGTGGGGTCAGTGCAGAGGGTGATGCAGGGCTTGACCTCACGACCATGAGATCGTGACCTGAGCTGAAATCAAGAGTCAGACGCTTAACTGACTGAGCTACCCAGGTGCCCCTCACAAAACTTTTTAAAAACTGCAAAAGCTTAGAATCACCAATTCTGCTTCTAGGAATCTATTTGAAGGAAAAATTAAAGATGTGATAGTAATAATTTTACTGTGAAACTATGCAGCTACAACACTTTATAATGATACAAACTGCAAACAACCTAAATTAGAAAAAGGATTCAGCTGTGACAAATGACGTTTTGTATGAAAAATTACTCCCTTGGTAGTCCAATATGAAAAAATTTTAAAACAGTTTACAAAACTGTATGTAGAGCAGGAACCCAATTTTATATAACTTAACTATACCAAGGCATTAACAAATCAGTATTAATAAGGTTTGGGTGTTTTAATTTATTATTTTTATCCACACCTTTTCTTTAAGTTTTATTAGTTGCTTTAATTACCAAAAGTCATACATGGTTCACTAACAGGTGAAACAATATAAAACTATACTCTAAGAAGAGTTACCTTTCCCGTCTCTGTAAAAACACATCCTGACCAGTTTTATCCCCCCTTGAGAGCCAATGTCAGCAGCCTGGTAGTGTATATTCAGTTACACTTTGCCTATAATCACACCTAAGAGGCAAACATCTATCTATACATATACTTGATCAATAGATGCACTGGTGCCCCCTGTTTATTTTTTTTTTTTATGGGATAATACCCATACTTCTTGGTTCTTTTCTACTTAATATAACATAGGCACATCAAGTTAAAAGATACAGATTTCATTCTTTTTAATAGCTATATAATACTTCATAAAGCATATATAAACCATAATTACTCAAGGCCTACTATTGGTTATAAAGGTTGTTTCTGGATTTTTAATACTGCAAGAAACGTTGCAATAAACATCCTTGAACACATATCCTTACATTTTGATATATGTATTTTTTAATCCAAAGATAGAGTCCCAAAAGTGAGTTTGCTGGCTATATATACACACTCTTAATTAGTATAAATACTACCACATTACTTATCAGCAATGTATAAGCCTCATCAACAACACTGAATATAGTTTTTGCTAATCTGATAGTAACTACTGTTACTTTAATTTGCATTTCCTCACCTGCTATGGGGATTGGGGTTTTCACTGGTTTACTGACCATTTAATTTACCTTTATTCTTCCTCTATTCCCATCCTTTTCCTATTTTTCTATTCTATTGCTATCATATGCCATGCAAATAATTTTTCCTAAAGTTAGGATCACAGCTAACACCATATTTAAGAATAAATTCCAAATGAATTAAAAGTTTAAATAATCAGGGGTGCCTGGGGTGGCTCAGTTAAGCTTTGGACTCTTGATTTCAGCTCAGGTCATGATCGAGGCTCACCTGCTTAGGATTCTCTCTCTCCCTCTCTCTCTAACCCTCCCCTGCTCGAGCACATGGGCTTTCTCTCTCAAAAGTAAATAAATAAACTTAAAAAAAAGTTTAAATAATCAAAAACAAGCTATCAATAACAAAATATAAAGTATCTGTATGAACTTGGGATCAGAGAGATTTTCTTGAGCAAGAAAATTCAGAAGCAATAAAGACAGACATTTCACTACATTAAAGTTTTAGCTGTTTTTTTTTTTTTTCCCCCACTTTTAAATTATCAACAGATATTGCTTTGGGAATTATTTTTTAACAAGTTTTTTTTTTTTTTTTAACTGTCGGCAGATATTAACAAGGCTATCGTTATTCCAAAGTCCTATGATAAGACATGTTGAAAACCTCATCAGACACAGGTGCTGAGCTGGCAGAGGCACAGAACTGCCAAACACAACCAACCACCTTTTAACACCGCCGCTACGACCACTAACCAGAAGCTGTGATGGGATTCTACACTTCCCAACTGCGGCTTCCGCATCCTGTCCACCAGGGAGGTTTCCTTTATCAAGGCCTGCGTAAACACGGAGCCCCGCAGCGGACCCCGGCCCCGGTGCCCTCCACCCCCATCGCACGGGGGTCGGCCGTGGGCACGCGGCCTCGCGGGAAAGGGCACATTTTGTTCCCGTCACGCGGGCACGATCTGGCACAAGAGAGAACTCACCTAGATGGGGGAACAGATCAGTGTCCAGCTGATGTTTCTGGGTGCACAGTCTCACCAGTCTCTGCAGTCGGCTGATGCAGGAGAAGTGTGGAGAGAAGGCTGTGGCTTTCATAAGGACCCGATCAGTGCTGGGCGGGTCCGCGGCGGGCGCCCTGCCGGAGGGCAGGAGGGGCAGCGGCCTCTTGTGAGACGACTGCCTTGCTTGTGCTATAGTGTGTGTGGTGGGGGCCACTCCCTGCAGTGGTAGGCTGGTGTTCGGAGGTGGAGGGGACTTGCAGACGAAACCCTGCGGTGGCGGCGGCGCCGGAGGTTTTAAAGAAGTGGGGGAGGGTGACGGGTGGGGGTGCTGCTGCGGGGGCTGCTGCTGTGAAGGTGCAGGAGGGGGACTAAAGTGCTCTTGTCGAACTTTTAAAATCTCGGTCTCTCTCTGGCGCTGCCGATTCTGGGCCAACTTGCTCTGCAACTTCTTTCTCACAGTTGCCCCTTTCTTTAGGTCATCATCTTCCTCGTTGAAAGCAAACGGGTCTTCCAACTCGGTTTCCAGGTAGTGGAGAGGGACCCTAGCCCCGGGCGGAGAGAGGGACATTCCATCCAGTCCATTGGGCATCTTCAAGGCCAGCGTGGGCACCGTCAGGCTGAAAGCCATGGTATCCATCTGGTGCCTGACCTTTACCTCATCTATAGGATCATTCTTTTTCTTCCTCTCTTTTTTCGGGATAAAGCCAAGTACCTGCAAGTGGCTGTTGCAGTACCTTTAAAAACACACACACAGAAGGGGGAAAGGTTTATGATATACAGAGTAAGAAAAGGAGAATATAGAACAACATGGTATAAATTGTGACTCCTGCCTAATATGTTATAAATTCATGACTATCTTAACTCTTGGCATTCGTGGATTTAATGTAAACAACTGCCGCTACTCTCAAGCAATCCTCCAAGTCTGCCATTTTCCTGAAGCAAATATGTGAACTGTGTATGTGCAGAGGCTGCAGGACAGAAGCAAGTCATTCAAATAGTGAGTGGCCCGGGATAACCATCTGGCTATTGCTTCTCGCTCTGCTTTGTTATTTTATTTTGTATTCATAGCATACAAAGTAACGAGTCTAAAGGATCACCTAAAACTCTCCTGTGCAGAAATATGTATGTATGTGTATTTTCAAATATTTGTAGTCACAAAGATCTTATGACATAGCCCCTAATAATGTAGTGTCTACAGTGT